TCGGATAGGGCGTTGGCTTCTTCGAGGAGAGCTCTTTTAGTGAGAGTGTCTACGGTTGGATGATTGTCAGAATATAGCTCAGAGTAGAACTGATGGAAAGAGTTGAGTTGCTCCGTTTCAGTTTGGACTTCTTCCTTCTTGTAGTTCTTAAGCTTCTTGAAATCTCTCCAGGATATAGTTTTACCGTTTTTAATCTTCTTGTTAAGGCTATTGAAGAAGTCATCTCTTTTCTTATTGACAATCTTTCGATATCCTCTAGAGTTGGCACGATGCCGTGTTTTGATTCTCTGGTTATCAGGATTATTGTCGACAATTTTTATTGACCGTTTGAAAAGGCGTCGTGCAGTGTGACACTTGCCGTCAAACCATGAGGCGAACTTAGGTTTTGGATTCTTAGTTTGTTTAGAGATATCAAACTCTTTTTTAGCGACATCGTTTATGAGTTCTGTAATATGCCTATTCAGTGCTTCAACTGCCTCATGGGTTTTTGGAGTGGATTCGACATCTTTGGTCAGTTGGGAGATTCTTTGAATGAACTCAGGCTCTTCAAATGATTTTGTGAAGTTGGCTAAGCCCTCTTCTGTGATCTTGTATCGAAAGGGAGCTTCTTCGTAGATACTGGTGGGAGCTTGACTACTCCTTTGAGGGGCCCTTCGTCTATGCCAAAGGCTGAGTAAGATTGGATTGTGATCGGAGAACAGAGTGTGCTCACCCACTGAGAGGCTCTTGACACGGTGAAGAAAGGATGTTGATGCAATGAAGTAGTCCACTACGCTGTTTCCGTTCCACTTGTAGCATGTGTATTTTCCAGCAGAGTCACCGATGGTACGTCCATTAAGGATCAGGAGGTTTTGTGATCCACAGAGGTCAAGCAAAAGGTTTTTGTGTCTATTGGTAATTTTGTCCTGGCTGTTCCTATTTTGAGATATAGGTGCCACGTCAGGTATAACCATGAAGTCGGAAGACCTGCCAGTTTCTGGAAAGAGCTCGAATTCGTCCGCTCTGTCATACATATGAAAATCTGGAGCTACTCCTATCCTGGCATTAAAGTCACCAAGAAGTAATAGCTCATCACTGGGGTTATTCTTGATGCTGGTTATTTTTTCCTGAAGGGCATCAAAGTTTGCCTCGGAGCAGTTAGTGCGGTTTTTCTGTTTGCTATTTGTAGGTGGGATGTAGCTATTGACAACAAAGGTGTTGAGACTGCTGTCGGGATCAGTGATTTTAACAATGACAATATTCATTGTATGGTCCGCAGTGAGTGTGCATTTATCCAGAGAGCAATATTCCACAATTGTGTTCCTAACCAAAGTGGTTACTCCTCCTCCTTTACCTGATTTGCGGATGTCACTATAGGATTTGTATCCATTCAGGGAAACTTCGCATCCGGTTTCTTGGAGGCAGATTATATCATTTGGACTGATGATTTTGACAAATTCGGGATCCTCAACTTTGTTTCCGAGCAAGCCATGAATGTTTGCAACATTCCAGGAAATTATACCGTTGACGATGTTCATCAGTCAGGTATAGAAGATGAGAGAGGCAAGAGGAGAGGAGGAAAGAAGAAGAGAACTCGGAAGATTTGGAGGAGCTGAGAATGAGGGACTAGAATTCAAGTACGGTCCCTGCTAAATGTACTATTGAGACTTGTCTTGAAGTTTCCCATGATTACTCTGATACCTCTGTCATTTAGATGAGGTTGATCTGGGACAAACAGATAGTCGTGTGGGATATCCGATCCCCCCGGGTAGAAGTTGTTGTTTCTGTTTTCTCTTGATCTCATCCAGAAATCAGCCTTTTCACTGTCATCTTTAAGATTTCTGATTGCCTCTGTGTTGAGTCGACTATTCTTACCCCATTCCTCTCCAGGATGGTCGCGGAGAAAGGGGTGAGAGATGAATATTTGGCAGTGTTGTGAGGTCTGTCTAAGGATCTTTTCAGTAGACTTGATTAATGACCCCACCACAGTATCAGCCTTGTTGCCTTCCAGGATGTCCCGAGTACCAAGGTGAATGTACACTGCATCTGGATTAAGGTTTGAGATCTCTTCTACTGTTCGTTCGAGGCACGAGTCAAGTTCTTTCAAACTTGGCCTGTATATTACAGAGACATTATACCTCTTTGGAAACTCGTCAGGTTTAAAGCTTCGCATGGTCGAGTCACAGAGGAGAACAATTCTCTGTTGGCGCTGTACTGGGTTACTCGCTCTTTTGGATCTCCCTGTGCTGCGAGGAGTTGTTGCAGTTTCTTTTGTGATTATCTTGCCTTTTTGTCTGGGTTCTAAGTCTTCTCTCCTGTAGGAAGACCGTCCCTGATTAGGTGACAGCCCGGGGATGTCACTGTTAGTCCGTGTGTCAGCTGGTGACCTGGGGATATGTCTCACATAGCTTTGGCTAACATATGGAGCTGGGTCTGCCTGGTTGTTTCTGAAATTTGAGGCAGAGATGATTTCATGGATTTCATTGATTTTTTCATTCTCTTCCCTTTTGAAGACACTCTGACTCCAAACTTCCAGATCCTTCTTTACAGACATAGTGTCTTTGAGGGTTTGTGTGAGCCCTTTCAGACCTATTTCAGATTTCTCCAGGAGCATGCTGGTGTCATGGGTAGCTTTTGACAGATTTTTCAGTAGATCTGCGCCACTTGAGCATTTTGTTGCTACCTGGCAGCTCCCGGTTGATTTAGTTGCAGGGGTCATCTCAGTTATCGTGAGTTTTAGCTCTTTAATCTCGGTTTTTATTTCGGTAAGAATAGAGCTTGCTGTTAATGAGCAAGGACAAAAGAAAATCGCGATTATTTAGGCCAAAAATCGTGACACCGCGACATGCCAAACTAGGCGAAATCGCGGCGAAAATCTCGAAAATCGTGGCTCGTTAGTCTAGTTAGAACTGTTAGATTAGCTATAAGTATAAATACTGAGCAGTGCTTGCTTTTAGATCATCCCTTCCAGACGATCTCGAAAGTTCCTCCCAGCTCGTCAGACCTCGCCAGAACGGAACTCGATGTTCCACTTCTAAAGATTATCTTTTGTGGGGACCGAGAAGAAATATTTCCTTTATCCTCGGCCTCATGAACTGTTGTCCGTATTGAGGTCGCTAACGTTTGTTATAAAGTTATAATATAGATTGACTAGTATAATAACCCTTGCCTTCGGCCGAGACCACACAGACATTTTGGAATTATTAGTATTATAGTAATAGATTATCTTAACAATCTCATGATATTGTTAAGAATATTTTAATAATATTTTATTTCCTCATCTTTGCCCTTGTTCATCTTCTCGCACAATTCCTTAAGTGGGGTACGTCATCGTCATGTGAATGTTTGCAGTTTTCCATACATTGATTGGGGTGTGTACTGTCGACTAAGAGTAAAGGATCGTTCACATATTACGTACCTTACTCGGGAATATTATAGCGGGTTAATTTATGACTGGGAAAATTAATGACCGGGAAAAATATGGCGGAATTTTCCAAAACCCACCAAGCATCAAAATGTATTATTATTAGTTTACCTTACTCGGGAACATTATAGCGGGTTAATTTATGACTGGGAAAATTAATGACCGGGAAAAATATGGCGGAATTTTCCAAAACCCACCACTTTATCCCAGTCATAATATTCCCGAGTAAGGTAATCAATATTTTAAACAATTTTTCCCCCTCCGTAATCAAGACCCAACCCCCCTCCTGATAACAATATTACGTAATCATAGCCTGATCACCCTCCCCCCCCCCCCCCCCCCCCCCCTTTGACTTTTTTCCCTGGAAATCATTTTTCTTTACGTTTCATGCTACCCTGATCATGATAAACCGAAATCATTGTTATGATATCCGGCCAATCACCTTTCAAACTACTTACGTCTTACTTTATCACTATCAGAGTGAAATTTAGTGGAATTTGAATTAAAATATTGTCCATGTCAAATGTTATTATTATAGAGGGTAAAAAAGAAAATGTTGATTACGTAGGTAATCAACGGCCAATCGTGCTAATCTGAACCGGCCTACCTGGATTAGGGAAGTTGGTCGTTTACCACCTGACAGTCTATGCAACGTCTATGCAACGTCCGTGCAACAACAAAAGAACCGTCTATGCAACGTCTATGCAACGTCCCTGCACAATGAACACTCTATGCACACTCCCTGCACGGTCAGTCTATGCAACGTCTATGCAACGTCTATGCAACGTCTATGCAACGTCCCTGCACAGTACCATATGAACACCGGCTACTAGCCGGCTACTAACCGGCTAGTAGCCACTTTTGTAATAACAGCTCCTCAACTTCACATTAACAACCGGCTACTAACCGGCACTTGAAAAGTGGTCACTAGCCGGCTACTAACCGGCTACTAGCCGGCTAGTGACCACAAAGTGGCTACTAACCGGCTACTAAGCGGTCACTAGCCGGCTATTAGCCGAGCTCTAAAGCAGACCTACTAGTAGCCGGTTCCAAACCGGTTCCAAACCGGCTACTAGCCGGCACTTAGAAAGTGGTCACTAGCCGGCTACTAACCGGCTACTAACCGGCTAGTAACCACCAAGTGGCTACTAACCGGCTACTAACCGGTCACTAGCCGGCTCTTAAGCGGACCTACTAGTAGCCGGTTCCAAACCGGCTACTAGCCGGCACTTAGAAAGCGGTCACTAGCCGGCTACTAACCGGCTACTAACCGGCTAGTAACCACCAAGTGGCTACTAACCGGCTACTAACCGGTCACTAGCCGGCTCTTAAGCGGACCTACTAGCCGGCACTCGAAAAGCGGTCGCTAGCCGGCTACTAACCGGCTACTAACCGGCTAGTAACCACCAAGTGGCTACTAACCGGTCACTAGCCGGCTCTAAAGCGGACCTTCTAGTTCCAAACCGGCTACTAGCCGACACCTGAAAAGCGGTCACTAGCCGGCTACTAGTGACCGAAGGTGTAAACACTAGGAAGTCTGACGTCTCGTAGTTGCAGCAGTGCGTGTTGGACACCTGGTAGGTCAACTTTTGCTGCTTCAGCGATACATCGCTTTCTTGAGAAGTATCTGCTCCAGAGCGGCAGACTTTGAGAGACCAGAGTTGACTAGCTGCACAACGGCGTCGTATTCCGCTATAACCCCGTCTAAAGAAAATATCCGCCTCGTTCTGCGACCAGTAGGCAGAGCAGCAGCATTGGGAGCAGGTTGCTGATCAGTAGCAGGTTGGTGTCCAGGAGCAGCTTGCTGAGCACGAGGTTGAGGAGAATTGGGAGCAGGTTGTTGATCAGTAACAGGTTGCTGTGCAGGAGCAGGTTGAGGAGCTGGAGGTTGAGGAGCTGGAGGTTGAGGAGCTGGAGGTTGAGGAGCTGGAGGTTGAGGAGCTGGAGGTTGAGGAGCTGGAGGTTGAGGAGCTGGAGGTTGAGGAGCTGGAGGTTGAGGAGCTGGAGGTTGAGGAGCTGGAGGTTGAGGAGCTGGAGGTTGAGGAGCTGGAGGTTGAGGAGCTGGAGGTTGAGGAGCTGGAGGTTGAGGAGCTGGAGGTTGAGGAGCTGGAGGTTGAGGAGCTGGAGGTTGAGGAGCTGGAGGTTGAGGAGCTGGAGGTTGAGGAGCTGGAGGTTGAGGAGCTGGAGGTTGAGGAGCTGGAGGTTGAGGAGCTGGAGGTTGAGGCGGTTGAGGAGCAGCAGCGGTACGAGGAGCTAGTCCTGGAACAGTGGGAGGAGGAGGGGGTGGGGTAGGTCTTGAAGTAGAAGAGGTTCTAAGTCGGTGATTGGTGGTGGGGATAGGTCTGTTTGGTCGAATTGTGGGTGTAGAGTGCAGGGAGCACGGATCGATGTGTACTATAATCTGTAGATAATCTGGGTCCTCTCTGTAAGCGCTTCTAACAGTCCGAATGCAGGCAGTACATCTGAGGGAGGGAAGGTCGGGACTGTAAGTCCTTCTGGAGCAGATTGAGGAGATGTGACCGGTAGACCCACAGTGATCGCATTTAGGAGCAGGTGTAGGAGCGGTATATCTGTTTCTTCTGGTCCGCATGTTGATTAAGAGTAAAGAATGATGTATAGTAAAGAACGATGTAAAGAACGAGGGATAAATAAGTTGGTGGCTAATGCTACTTATATAGTTTTTGGAAAGGCCTGCAGGTCCGTCAGGGCTCGTTATACCCATGGTTATTTGATCTGATCTATCATGCATGGTGTCACGTCAAATCCTAACGATTGCGGTGATCCGTTAGAACTCAATTGGGGATCACATCGTTTTCACTGATCACGTCCCTGCAGGGATTCTTATGCAAAAGGAGGGATATAACCTAAACAATCTTGATAAAAGGATTAAAAAATGACTATGATACTTGATGCGTCCCATATCATAAATAATTTGGGATCCATCAGTTTCGGTTCGGTTTATAGATCGTTTCTTAGTAAAGTGGGAGCAAGCGGAGCATTCGTCTATTTTCAAAATGTAATAATTGCGATATTACTCGTCAGCCAGCGCAGGCCAGCGCAATATAGTTGCGATATTGTTCGTCAGCTACTGCTAGTGCCGGCTACTGCTAGCGCTGGCTAGCGCCATGTATAGAAATCGGCTCTAACTAATTCGCTCGCCCAAATTTTCACGTGCCGTTTTTATGGTTTTGCAGCCAAACAAAACGGTTTTACAGACACCCTAATCCCAACCTTAACCCTAACCCCGAAGCTATTCATAACCCTAACCACAACCGTGGTCACTATTAACCAATGTCTCTATTAACCAATGTAAACAGTTCTGCGTGAGAAATTCGAGCTAGCTTGCTCAGGCTAAATTGGCCAAATAAGCTCAGTGAAGCTAGCACTCACACAACACTTGCCACAAAGGTTTAGCTACCTGTTATTAACACTAGCAGGAACCCATTAACCCTAAAGTGGTGTCAAGACTTTAGGAGGCCGGATCAGTTTCCTGCCGCAAAGTCTCCCAGTGAAAATTATTATTACCTATTTAATTCACGTTTTTGACACCACTTGGAAGTCCGAATTTTGGGCACTAAAATTCTTATTTCTTGGCCAATTTTTTTCCCTGCTCTTGCCGAAGGCAAAAAGATCGTAGGGATCGGAATAAGTAATCGGGTTTGGATATATGAGGTGAAAAAATGATCCTACGTCTATGACAAAAGTCTGCGCCTTCACAATATAGACCACTCTGCATAAATTGGGGGTATTATTGGCGTTTGTTTTGCTGCGCGCGACGACAGCTATGTGTTAATTAATTGTTTTATCCAACGCGAATTTCAATTGTCAAACGATGCCATTTAAATAAATTAGCCCCACATTTGTGCGCGGCGTACTAAATATTCGATTATAATCCTGCACGCGCGCAATGATAAATTACGATTAAAAACATTGTACTTATGAATTAAGCAACTTATATTATTACTGAATATTTTCGTAACTTATGACATGACAACAAAATAATGCAATATCCTATTTTTTTTGACTCAATAAGATTAAACTTTTCATTGCAAACATTAACGGTTTGAGCAGGGAAAATTGATCGTGCGTGGTGTGACCGCGGCGAAATTCTTGCTTATTTTTTTATGTTGATTTGAAGGCCATTAAGGCATTTGACCCAGTCATAACAAATTTGAGTATTATATCTTTTACGGTTTTTGCGGAACGTCGTGTTAAAGTTGATGCCCTGGTGTCAGTAAAATGGTAGCAAATATATATAATATAAATAATTATAGTGTCCTCATGAAATAAAACAATTAATCTGGTTAGTTTGCAAAATTATGATATATCTACGACTTCATTAAATGCAATACAACATCAATTATATATTTTAGATAATCATTAAACTTCCCATTATTCAACCAAAGGTTCTTTTCATGAGCTCAGGAATCTCAAAGTTAAAACTCTTACGAACAGAAACATCAGAACGTGTAAGATTAAATCTCTTCAACCACATAAATTCACAGAGTGCCAAGTCCATTGCAGCTGAATCAGTCCTGGTTCGTCCGTGCCCCCCTCTCATGTGACGCTTAGCGTGGTACCACATACCTTCACAGGTATTTGTATGCACGCCCGTTGCAGGGTCGATGAATCCACGTCGATGATTCACGGTGAGGTGGATATATCCATGGCGATTCAGGTGTGTGTAGCCTTTCCAGCGGTCTGATAGGATTGTAGTACCAGGGTTGATGTAACGCTTTATCAGAGAGAGGAGGGTGTGATGGTTCCTTCTGTTATCAGGGCAATTAATTCAGAGAATTATATTTGTTAGGTAAAAAACGGAATTTGTATAGTAACCATGGTAACGATGATTACTACATGAACTTGCACGTGCAAAGATTTGCGAGCATCATTTTGATTGATTATGTGGTATTTACATTTACGTTGTGCTTTACATTTACAATTTGTTTCAAATAACAAGTTTCAAATAGTAGCCGGTTAGTAGCCGGCTAGTGACCGCTTTTCAAGTGTCGGCTAGTAGCCGGTTTGGAACTAGAAGGTCCGCTTTAGAGCCGGCTAGTGACCGGTTAGTAGCCACTTGGTGGTTACTAGCCGGTTAGTAGCCGGTTAGTAGCCGGCTAGCGACCGCTTTTCGAGTGCCGGCTAGTAGGTCCGCTTAAGAGCCGGCTAGTGACCGGTTAGTAGCCACTTGGTGGTTACTAGCCGGTTAGTAGCCGGTTAGTAGCCGGCTAGTGACCGCTTTCTAAGTGCCGGCTAGTAGCCGGTTTGGAACCGGCTACTAGTAGGTCTGCTTTAGAGCTCGGCTAATAGCCGGCTAGTGACCGGTTAGTAGCCGGTTAGTAGCCACTTGGTGGTTACTAGCCGGTTAGTAGCCGGTTAGTAGCCGGCGAGTGACCGCTTTTCAAGTGCCGGCTAGAAGCCGGTTTAGAACCGGCTACTAATAGGTCTGCTTTAGAGCCGGCTAGTGACCGGTTAGTAGCCGGTTAGTAGCCACTTGGTGGTTACTAGCCGGTTAGTAGCCGGTTAGTAGCCGGCTAGTGACCGCTTTCTAAGTGCCGGCTAGTAGCCGGTTTGGAACCGGTTTGGAACCGGCTACTAGTAGGTCTGCTTTAGAGCTCGGCTAATAGCCGGCTAGTGACCGCTTAGTAGCCGGTTAGTAGCCACTTTGTGGTCACTAGCCGGCTAGTAGCCGGTTAGTAGCCGGCTAGTGACCACTTTTCAAGTGCCGGTTAGTAGCCGGTTGTTAATGTGAAGTTGAGGAGCTGTTATTACAAAAGTGGCTACTAGCCGGTTAGTAGCCGGCTAGTAGCCGGTGTTCATATGGTACTGTGCAGGGACGTTGCATAGACGTTGCATAGACGTTGCATAGACGTTGCATAGACGTTGCATAGACTGACCGTGCAGGGAGTGTGCATAGAGTGTTCATTGTGCAGGGACGTTGCATAGACGTTGCATAGACGGTTCTTTTGTTGTTGCACGGACGTTGCATAGACGTTGCATAGACTGTCAGGTGGTAAACGACCAAGTTGCCCTGGATTACCATCTACCTCTTCTTTTCCTCAATAATTAGACCGAGTTGTGTAAGAAATTTGATTTATCATTTTAATGACGGATTTGTCTGTACCATAAGTCAAATAGGAAATCAGAGAATAATGAGTGATTAGGTATGGCCACATACTGCTGTGAAGAAGCCGTCTAGAAGCCACCATATGGCTTCTGAAAGGCCACCATACATTTGACCTCAAAGTTCTTTGTAACTTTGTAAGTAGTAATTATCAATTTATTTCGCAACGAAACAGAGCCTTCAAAGTATAACGTTCTACCTTCGATACGGTAGTGCTCGAACTTTTTGCTTTGACTAAAGATTTAAATAGTACAACGATGCGCCAAAAACTGATTTAAACTGTTCGAGTAGGATAATCTATTTCTTAGGCTGATAATCTTCGATAATTATATATTATTATAGTTTATCCGCAATGCGCAGCTGGTAAATTTTATTTTGAAATTGACTATTTTATGAAGGAAAATAATGCTTTTTAGTAAAATCGAAAATATTAACAGTCCGGTTGCGATCATTCATCTATTACTTTATTATAGAAAAAATCTGCCATTGTTAAGCAGGTCATAGTCCGGCATTACTGTGCAGACGTTTGTGTTTGTGGATTACTTGTGGAATATAGTGTCTAAAATAATAGCTTGACGATTAGAAAATGACTCATCCTGCATAGCTGCGGCAATGTCTTGAATCGGCACAGTCAGAATTGAGCACAAGGTTTTTTGTTTGTTGTTTAGTAGTAGTAGTAGTACTGCAATATTAACTAATATATAAGACTTGGTGGATAACATATTTTTTATTTTGACCCGTGATGGTTGTAAACCAATTTTCGAAATTATTTATTGGGTTTACTTGGAGTACTGAAACACTGTTAGGACTTAGGAAAGGACCGTTTTGCGTTTATTCTATTTCTCCACGTTTGTAAATGTAAGTGACAAATTTTCGAAGTTATTCTTAAAACTACTTTTCTCCGTGTTTTAAGCTATTCCAATCATTTTGAGCCAATGAAAAAAATTTTAATTTTTGCTAATTAGCTTATTGATAATTATCCAATTAATTGATTATCTGAGGTAAAAATTGTCTCCACAAATTTTTTTTTTCCTGATAATATGAACACCCTCGATTAATCTGCAATTTTCTACGATGTTCACAACTAAATATATTTGACAAACAAGAAAGGTGGTAAAAAGTGGTAAAGTGGCAAAAAGTGGCCTTAAGACACGTGGAAAAGTTTGGAAAAGTTGTTCAGCCGTAAAGGGCACCTCATGGGACTCAAAAACGTCAAAAATCCTTAGAAAGCTTCTTGTGTCGGCAGATCGATTTTTTCAGACGGATTTGTCTGTACTATCAGTGCTTAAAACAAATAGTTGTTGTAAAGTTGTAAAACTATTTTCACAACTACATAGTTTTAAACTATTTTCAAAGGCGTGTTGCCAAAACGTCAACAACTATTTGTTTTAAACAATAAAGACTGAGTGGAGACTCTCACTTCGTCCCTAACTATTAAATTGTATTTATAATCATAGTATAATCAA